GATTTGGAACTTTCCATGTTTCCGTTATTCTTCTCTTCTTCTTCTTCTTCTCTTCTTCTTCTCCTTATTATTAGTTTACTTTCCCCTTCTTCTTTTATAGTTCTATCTGTCCTCACGCTCGCCTGAACTTGTTTTATCCCCAGGGTTGATTATCCATGGGAAATGAAGCACATGAGCTACCCTACACGAGCACTTAAAAAATCAACTGTCATAAAGCGCTTGTAAATTAAAACTGATAGATTTGGAACTTTGGATTTTTCCTTTCTTCGTCCTCTTATTATTCTCCTCTTCTTCTTCTTCCTTATTATTCTTCTACTGTATTCTTCTTCTTTTATATTTCTCTCTGCCCCCACGCTCGCCTGAACTTGTTTAGCTCTGGGGTTGATTATCCGTGGAAAGTGAGGCACATGAGCTACCCTACACGAGCACTTACAAAAAAAACAATTTTCATAAAGCGCTTGTACATAAAATCTAAGAGATTTGAAACTCGAGATGTTCACAAAACGTGCTCGGCTTGGTCTCCTCTTGATCATCTCTTACTTCGAGATTACGCTGAGGTCTGCTGGGCTACTTTTATTATCTCTCCCTGAACCCCGAACTCTATTATCCCCTAGTGTTTATTCTCACGGGCATGAGGTTACTTCTTCAGTTTCGCTGCGTTGGCCCACGACTCGCTTACAGCTGCAGTGTCTCCACGACAAACAGCATGGTTAGCGAATGCCACAACAGCCTTCACCTCGCAAGACTTGACGATCCCGTTGCTCGCTGAGCTCGCCGATGGGCCATATCCCCTGATCAAACGTGGAGCCAAGTGCGTTCCAAAGTCGGACACACAAGTCGTCTTCATGTGCACCGATAGAGAGTCGCGCGGTGGTTGGTTGAGCAGGTCGTACTTGCCAACGAACACACTGCACTCGTCCAACTCGCTGAACATGGCACCAACATCTCCGTTCCGTGAGAGCGCGGTCAACTCTGTCACGCTCCAGCATGTCTCCAGCGCCTCTGCAAGCAATCTTCCCTCCCTAACGTGCACCACTATGGTCTTCACTCCGTTCACCTCTCTGACCTCCAACGTGGGCGTCGATTCTGTTCTCACACTGGAGATCCATAGCTTGATCGTGCTCAACGCGGAAGCTATGAGGCTCCTCCGGCATTTCACTGATTCGTGCTCACAATGAGACGATGAGACCCCCACGTTGTAGTCGTTGGAGCTTGCAACGTCGATGATGGATTGGATCCCACGCGTCACTTGAACCTCCGATTGCGCGTGCTCTGACCACTCTCGTCACACGATGCGTACTTCTTGAGATTCTCCACTACCATCGACGCTGTGCCAGGCCCCAGCAGACTGATTACCGCACGCCGTGTTAACATCCTGCTGAATATCGCCCCCTTGCTATGTGGCGCCGTTATCGGGCAGATCATCCACTTCAAGCCCATGACCAAGGCCTCGCTCTTGTCGGCCATAGCTTTCTTCTCGTCACGGGATCGTTCTTCAAACTGTTCCGTAGCGACCGCGATCGCGTGGCAGGTCCTAACTAGCTCGTTGGGCACCGACTACGACACAGTCTCCTCGAAGGGCGAATCAACGAGGTCAACCAAGGCATTCTTCGGGTTGTCGTCATCGCTCACGACGCGGGGTAACCTCAGCCTGATAGGCTGACCACCAAGCTTCGACACATCGGGGGCCCATGCAACCTTTGGAGCGTTGCGAGTGGCTCTCGAGAGATGACACTTCCTTGCAGTGAATGCTGGGCCAACGTTCCGGTAACGACCATCAATCTGTCTCGCGGAACCTCCCAGAATGTGATCGATATGCAGTTTGTTGTCACCCTCAAGAGCACCTCGAACAGCGCTGTCATCGCAGGCATACTGTTCGCCCATGCAGAATGCTAGCGTCAAATTGTCGAGCTCGTTCATCTCACAGTGCCAACAACACTGAACGGCACCGAGACCGCCTTTGGTTGCTTGACGTGGACCCGCTCGAGCCTAACAGCGATTGTCGTGGCGCACTGCTCAGGAATTGCCGCTGCAACATCACCGATCACAACCCATGGAACGGGGCCCTTGCAAGAACCAGCCCGGATCAACGGGTAACTGCTCCCCCTCCCATCGACATTACCCTGCACACATTCACCCTTGCCCTGCGCAGGGGATATCACTCTAACGCCTTGGAACAGGATCAGATCATCGTAGAACGCTTTGCACGATGCAACCTTGATCAGTGAACATGCAGGGTTTATCTCGTTGCTCAGACTCAAGGTTGCATCCTTGAGCGAATCCGAGAAGGCCCCGGCATTCCCCAGCAAGTTGGAGATTTCGACTCGACGCTCGCTAGCAGGCACCACTTGAGCCAACGCTGCAACGAAAAGCATTCTCGATGCAAACATCCACCATGCAACGTTCAACATGGCACACCAACACCGATTGCTATGCAACACGAGACCCCAAACGTGCTTTGCACCTCAACCATGAACGCAACGCCAATCGATGTCCTAGCAACGACAGAAGCAACCATGCAAAGCATCAACCAACAGATCCCATCGTTGCCCGTGATTGCTGGCGCGTTGGGTTGCGATCGATGTGAATTGGGGCTCATGGTTGATGCTAGGCGAGAACCAGGCAAGCAGGGGCGCATGTCCAGAGTGAACGTTGCACGAGCACCAGGCTAGCGATGCAACTGTGCATGCGATGAGATGCTAGTCACCCCCAAGCTTGAACTGTCCAACCTCCAACGCTGCCAGACTGCAAGCTTATAGCGCCCACCGAGGAAGTTGTTTGATCGTGGCTTGCGCTATCTCGCAACACTCGATGATGTCGCGCGCAATCTCAGGGCAGTTCGCGGCCACCATCGCGTTGCTCAACGCTGGCAGGACTGCACACGCAGGGGCTCCAGCAATCCTCGCGAGCTTCTCCTCCACGAACACGTGCTCCCATGCCATCGTGTCATCGCCCTTGAAGTGGAACGTGACCCCGATCCCCATTGGATGCTGGCACCATGAACCGTGCGGATGAGACTGATGTGCACCACGCACATAGATCACCTGCGGCCTGTTGCTGACAAACCCGAGGTACAACAGGCACTGAGATTTTGTGCGCAGGTTGCAGTGCTGCATAACCTTGGCGACAACCTCCATCTCGTTCCTCGACTCTGGCAACGAGCCGGTCCCACTGAAGCTCACCTGCGCGCACTCGAGAATCTTGGGCGCTGCAGCAACGATCCGGGTGGCATCTGCTCCGCGAAACATGGCACCGAATGGCACCTGGCTCACGGATTGCTGGACCATCGGCTCCTGGCTCATCTCTTCACCGGCAACAGCGCCAACGAGATCCCAGGTCGCTAGCAAACTTTCAGCGTTGCGAAGCATTGCCGTTGCTCCTTGACGCTAGCAGCCCCACCAACTGCTGCTGCTGCTGCTGCGGCTGCTGCTGCTACTACTACTAGTACTACTACTACTACTACTACTACTACTACTACTACTACTACTACGACTACTACTACTACTACTACTACTACTACTACTACTACTACTACTACTACTACTACTACTACTACTACTACTACTACTACTACTACGACTACTACTACAACAACAACTACTACTACTACTACTACTACTACTACTACTACTGCTACTACTACTACTACTACTACTACTACTACTACTACTACTACTACTACTACTACTACTACTAAAACAACTACTACTACTACTACTACTACTACTACTAATACTACTACTACTACTACTACTACTACTACTACTACTACTACTACTACTACTACTACTGCTATAACTACTATTACTACTACTACTACTACGAACTACTACTACTACTACTACGACTACTACCACTACTACTACTACTACTACGACTACTACCAACCTCCAACAGGAGCTGGCAAAGTGTCTGGACAGCCCTTGAGACTGTCATGAAGACACCTGGAAGCCTCGCGCGGCAATTCGAGACCCAATGTACGTCGGATTTCCCGTCAAACTCACGTGGACTTGCGTCGGGATCGCCGTCGATGTTGCGTCAGATTTACGTCGGAACATCGCCGCGCAGAAGTCGTGCCATATCTTACGGAGTGCACTGTCGGACTGGATGATACAACTATTGCGCGCCGCGCGAGGCCTCGAGGATTTTCCTCGCAAGGTAAGGTGTTTAGGCAGCTCTCGAGCGGAGGCACCGGCCCTCCCATGCTAGGGAGCCGTTCTGAGCCCGCCAATGATGACTTTTGGGGGAAGACCCAGTGCGCGCGCTGTGAAGAATGGAGCGCTCGGACGAGCAGACTCGAATTGCTTGCTCCTGAAGAAGAGAACCACAAACAAGAATCGCTGGGGGCTCAGTGCTGGTAGCGGGATTCTGAGAATCCTCTGATCATGCTATCTGGGAAAGGCGACGTTCCCAGTCGCAACCCCACCTTGGCAGTGCGTTGATCTTATTACTTTCGCTGCTTCTTGTGGAGAAAGTTTCCGCATCAACCCGCTCGACCCCCCCCCCTCCAATAAAGAGGGCTGCTGCACAGACAGTCGGCGCGTTGACCTAAGGAACCCTAAATAAGGAACGAGGCCCCTTTTGTCCGTAAGTTAAGCTTCGATTTCCCATCGAGATCTGAGGACAACCGAAGGCAAACTGTGAAACAACTAAGGAACACTGAGCCCCTCCCAAACGAGAAGGGTTCCTTCTTCAGCGCCCCGGCTGTACAACAATGTGCTCGAATCCACATAACAGACGTACTCCGGACTGTCCGAATTCCGTGCTCACAGAAAGTACATGCACGGAGCGCATGGGACACCCAAAATCACGCTCAGCTTCTACGACCAACGCTCAACCAACCAAGCATCATCACAAACGCGATCGCGATTACCACTACAATTACTACCGTTCTCGTCCACAGCATCGCCATCGTGGAGCGCCGAACCGTTCAGGGTTGGAGAATGCTGGTTGGAACGGTAACAATCACCACCACATCGTTTCCATGCTGGAACGCGTGCCTCGATGGTGCCGCTGCCAGTGAGGTCCAACTTGAGCGAGACTAACGGGGCGGAGAGGTTGGGGTTCATGAGCGTCGCCTGACGAGACTGGGACTGTACGTGCCCTGCTCCTGCTCGCGTGTTACTGATCTTGCCACTGCCCTTGGCTCCTTCTCCTGTCCCTGACATGCATCCTTCGTCTATTCCTCGTCATGCTGCTGTTGGTCCTCCCCCTACGGTCGACCCGTACCATAAGGATGCACGATAAGGATGCAAGGGCCTTGAAGGCTGTTTCGGCACCTTGCGAGCGGGGCGCGGCCAGCGAAAGCGACCAAGGATGGACCGAGGAGGCAAGGATGCAGGGGTAGCCTTGGGAAGGGTGCCCATCCTTACTGTGCGGGTTGACCTCCTCCTCCTTCTCCGCCTCCACCTCCTCCTCCTCCTCCGCCTCTTCCTCCACCTCCTCCTCCTCCTCCTCCTCCTCCTCCTCCAGATCCTCCTCCTCCACCGCCTCCTCCTACCTCCTCCTCCTTCCTCCTCCTCCTCGGTCGATCCTCTCATCCGCCTCTCCTCCTCCTCCTTCCTCTCCTCCCCTCCCCCTCCCCATCCCCCTTACCCCTACCCACCTTCCCCCTCCCCCCTACCCGTCCCCCTCCCCCTCACCCCCCCTCCTCCTCATCCTCTCATCCCCTCACTACTCATCCTCTCTCCTCCTCTGCATCTACTCCTCTCTCCTCCTCCTCCTCCTCCCCTCCTCTCTCCTCTCCTCCTCCGCCTCTCCTCCTCCTCCCTCCTTTTTTCCCCTCCTCCTCCTCCTCCTCTCCTCCTCCCTCCTCCTCCTCCTCCCCTCTCCTCTCCTCCTCCTCCTCCTCCTCCTCCCTCCTCCTCATCCCTTCCTCCTCCTCCTCCTCATCCTCCTCCTCCTCCTCCTCCTCTCCTCCTCCTCCTCCCCTCCTCCTCCTCCTCTCCTCCTCCTCCTCCTCTCCTCCTCCTCCTCTACCCTCCCCCTCCCCCTCCCCCTCCCCTCCCCCTCCCCCATCCCCCCCCCTCCCCTCCCCCTCCACATCCCCTCCCCCTTTCCCCCTCCCCCTCCCCCTCCCCCTCCCCCTCCCCCTCCCCCTCCCCTCCCCTCACCCTCCCCTCCCCCTTCCCCATCCCCCTCCCCTCCCCCTCCCCTCCCCTCGCCTCCCCCTCCCCCTCCACCTCCTCCTCCTCCTCCTCCTCCTCCTCCTCCTCTCCTCCTCCTCTCCTCCTCCTCCTCCTCCTCCCCCTCCTCTCTCCTCCTCCTCCTCCTCCTCCTCCTCTCCTCTCCTCTCTCCTCCTCCTCCTCCTCTCCTCCTCCTCCTCCTCCTCCTCATTCCTCCTCCTCCCTCCTCCTCCTCCTCCCCTCCTCCTGCCTCCTCCTCCTCCTCCCCCTTCAGAGATCGTCCAGAGGGTTCGCCTGTGGCACCCTGCACGGGGCGCGAGCCGTCCGAGGAGCGGGCGCGAGCCGTCCGACGGGCGCGCCGCACCTCTGGGGCCGCGGGCCCCAGCGCGCTGCGCCGCGCAGCAGCGCGCGAGGGGCGGGGATCGCAGGCAACGCCCCTCCCGAGGCTCACGCGTTGAAAGCTTGCCCTGCCCACGCGCTGCATGCCGGGACACCCCTCACACGTTTCGTGGCCCCATCGAGAGCTCCACCGAAGGACCCAGTGCCACCGTCCACGTTGTCCCCCACCACCATTTCGGCACACCCCTCACACGTTTCGTGGCCCCATAGGGAGTTCCACCGAAGGCCAAAGCGCCACGTGCACATGCGTCCCCCGCGCCCATTTCGACACACCCCTCACACGTTTCGTGACCCCATAGGGAGATCCACCGAAGGCCCCATTGCCACCATCCACAAGCGTCCCACACGTTCATTTCGGTACACCCCTCACACGTTCCGTGGCACCATAGGGAGATCCACCGAAGGCCCCAATGCCACCGTCCACATGCGTCCCCCACACCATTTCGGCACATGGCTCCATGAGGAGCTCCACTGAAGGCCCAATGCCACCGTCGACATGCGTCCCCCACACCCATTTCGGGACACATCTCACACGCTTCGTGGCCCCATAGCGAGCTCCACCGAAGGCCGCAATGCCACCGTCCACATGCGTCCCCCACACCCATCTCGGCACACCCCTCAGCCCTTTCGCGGCCCCATAGGGAGCTCCACCGAAAGCTCCAGTGCCACCGCCCACATGCGTCCCCCACACCCATGCCGGGACACCCCTCACACGTTCCGTGGCCCCATCGAGAGCTCCACCGAAGGGCGTCCTCAACACCCACTTCGGCACACCCCTCACACGTTCTGTGTCCACATAGGGAGCGCCACCAGAGGCCCCAGTGCCACCGTCCACATGCGTCCCCCACACCCATGTCGACACACCCCTCACACGCTTCGTGGCCCCATAGCGAGCTCCACCGAAGGCCCAAGTGCCACCGTCCACATGCGTTCCCCACACCCATTTCGGCACACCCCTCACACGTTTCGTGGCCTCATAGGAAGCTCCACCGAGGGCCCCAGTGCCACCGTCCACATGCGTCCGCCGCACTCGATTCGGCACAACCCTCACAGGGTTCGTGGCCCCATAGGGAGCGCCACCGAAGAAGAGATTCACACTTGCGGTACGCACAAATGCATATGGTTGGGTCCTTCGCCAGGCTAATGTTTCATTTTACGTGGCGCGGTGCGCCGCCAGTTCTGTTTTCTCTCTACCTGCCAGGGAGCCGTGGATATGGCCAAACGAGCTGCCCCCTGGCTGGACAAGCAAAAGTATAAGGCTAATGGACCAGCCAAAGTAGGAGGCTAATTACCCCTGTCACGAGCAGGGCGTGACCCAGCGATCTTAAGCGAAAGACGCCACTGCATCGGATGCCATAGCGCGACGAGGACCATGCAAATGCGCTGGCTCATGGAGCTCTGTACGCGTCGCACACCCATCTGGAAGAGTGCTTTCGTATTTGTGATCGTCCTCCCCCAGCAGACCACCGACGGCAAACCCAGTTCGCCTCAAATGCTTCACATACACGTTCAAATACATGAAGCCGCCGTCCGCACGTCCATGAACGACTTTCACCTGGACCGAACCAAACGCAACCCATTGCGGGGTCTCGACTGGACTTCCCGATGCGCTGTAATTGAATCCTCCGGCTTGTTTGGCCTCTGCCCAAGAACCTGTAATGTTCACCCCTTGAAAATACATGTCCGCGCAATGTCCACCCAATCGGCGCGCATCAGCCTGCACACGAAGCATTGCGTCTCCAACGCTGGTTCCACGAGGGATGTTTATCAGAATATGCGTGCCCGCCCTCATTAAATCGAATCGCTCGCCATGAACGTTTTGAAGATGGGGGTCGCCAGTGGCAGCCGCGCTTCCGCCAGCTCCGCCTGCCATGGGATCTGCAGGAAGAAATGTCGGATGTGGCGTTGGCCAACCTGGAGGATAACTCGGGCTGGGAGTTGGGCTGGGCGTCGGGAAGGTCGTCGGGTAGGCCGTTGGGAAGGCCGTCGGGTAGGCCGTCGGGAAGGGCGTCGGGGAGGGCGTCGGGAAGGCCGTCGGGTAGGCCGTCGGGAAGGGCGTCGGGGAGGCGTTGGGAAGGCCGTCGGGTAGGCCGTCGGGAAGGGCGTCGGGGAGGGCGTCGGGAAGGCCGTCGGGTAGGCCGTCGGGAAGGGCGTCGGGGAGGGCGTTGGGAAGGCCGTCGGGTAGGCCGTCGGGAAGGGCGTCGGGGAGGGCGTTGGGAAGGCCGTCGGGTAGGCCGTCGGGAAGGTCGTCGGGTAGGCCGTTGGGAAGGCCGTCGGGTAGGCCGTCGGGAAGGGCGTCGGGAAGGGCGTCGGGAAGGGCGTCGGGTGGGCCGTCGGGAAGGGCGTCGGGGAGGGCGTCGTGATTGAGGTGTAGTACACTGAGCTTACAACGTAATCACCGAAGAGATAACCACCAACCTCATATGGACCAACGCAGTGTGCGTGCGGATGCACCAGGGGATTGCCTTGTCCCCTGCAATAAGAAGCATCTCTAGAAGTTCCGCCGACGCCATTGCTGCACTGGCAATGAACTTGACTTGACATGGGGCATTCCAACCCAAAATATGTGTAGCCACCATTCCTACACTTTGTTTGGCAAGTCTCAGCTCCGGCTGCCGAAATCGCGACATTACCGTAAGGGCGGACCCAACCGCTTGGAGGACCCACGCAACCCACGTAGGTAGCCGCTCCAAGGGAAGCATCATTCAGGAAAACTTCCCCCACGTCAGCTTGTATAGCGCTGGCGCAGCCCATCAAACTGAAGATTGGCAAGATGTTGGCTGACTTCATGTTAACGAAATCTGCGGAGCGCGCTAGATAAGTAACTGGAGTGTGCGAGAATTGTGGGACTGCTGATCTACACCCTGTGGGTTTGATGACCTGGTGCTTGAGCCAAAGTGGGTACGGATTTTGGGAGGCGTCTTGATTGTTCCCTATTGATAACCCCCCCTCCCCCAGGCAACCAGCAGCCAACCAGGACCAATGTGGCCCCCCCCCCGCCATCCCTGTCAACAAAAATGTGAAGTCGACCTTGGGGCAAAATCTTGGGTCAGGATCGGGGGTCCGAGAACAGATTGTACTGTTTTGTCGCAGGGGCGGCGGGGTTGCCCGCACATTGCCTGCTGCGCGAAAGGCCAGCATCCCTGTCAACAAAAAACAATACCACATGCACTTCGAGGCATAATCTGGATCCTGCCAGGGAGCCCCGCGACCACCGCGCATTGGTTTTTGACTTGGACGGCGGGGGTGCCGGCAAATTGCTTGCTATGCGCGGACCCACCAAGCGACGTCATGATGGCCACGCGGCCGCACCAACTTTCGACAAAGGGTAGACTCTGCGCGTGCCCGGAACGTGGCACACCTGGCGCGGCGAGCATGCGGCACGCATGGCAAACGTGGATCACGTGGTGCATCCGGCGCACCAGCCGTGCCCGGCATGCCAGGGCACCAGGGGTGCCTGGCGCACCTGGCGCGCGGGGCGCGCCCGGCACGCCTGGCGCATCGCGCCCCAGCGTTTCGCAGATGAAATCTGTTTTGGTTCCAATGGACTGTC